TAGTTGCCTATGTATCGATAATGATTGCGTGTGTGGAATGCCTTTTGATTTATTAAGAGACAATAAAATATATTCACGCCATCTCTAAAAAAACGTGTTATTTACTAATGGATAAAAGTACATCAAATTATCAATTAATCTGATTAACATTGTCTAATAAAAATTAAACTATTAATATACATATTTTGGGTCTACACTAATTATACAATATGTATTATACTAATAATATGTATTGAGAATTAATATATCAAATTTCTATTAAAAAATAGATTTCATATATATTAATTTAGTGCATGTACCGGAAGGGTCCTATCGACCACGTGGATTGGCCACGTGGACCGGCACGTCATGTCCAATCACACATTGACGCAGCTTAGACACCACCTCGGCTTGGACACTATTATCGGCTCAGCCATAGGCCGAAAGGTCCTCTCGGCCGACCCTATTGGCTCGGCCAAGGACCAACAGGATACTTATAACGATAATTATGGTTAACAAGGGACAACACGTAATTAAAGCATAACCAGCTAATTAATATCGTATTACCTAATTTGGTAAGTGTTAGAGAAGGCTGACCATGCTCAGGCCCATGACATGTACTATAAATAAGTCACACGAAACGAGGTATGTCACTGTTCAATTATTACTCTTGAGAATCGTGCTTGTCCTGACTTGAGCGTCGGAGTGCCTTTTGCAGGTACCTCCCCCCACTGAAGCATCCACCTGAAGCTTTCGTTCGGCCCTCTACCCACCAGAAGATTACGAGTGTGCCCTCAAACAGGTACATTTTGGCGAATACAAGGAGAACCAACACTGAAGACCACCGATCCGAAGATGAGCACCGATCCGAGGCAGACAATGCCGAGACGGTGGACGAGACTAACATGGCCGAGGTGGTACGGCAAATGAAGGCGGAAATGGCCGCCATGAAGCAACAATGAGAGCAAGACGCTCGTGAGATGGCCGCCCTGAGAGAAGAGAATGTCGCCCTGAAAAACAAAAACCAGGATCCCACGTGGAAACCCTCCGAGCCGACTCACACCCAGGGGTCGTTCCACTCGCTCGTACATCATACTTCTCTCGCTCACACTTCTGTCGTCGCCCCGGGAAACCACGGATCGGCTGCCCAAGTAACCGGCCGACCCGTGTACGCTTCACCGGCCGGAGCACACCGACACCCTTTCACCTCGAATATCAAGCAATCCTCCCCCCTGGACCACTAGAAGTCCCTTCCGTTAGATAAGTATGACGGAACCACCGACCCCGACGAGCACGTCGATGTTTTCCTCACCCAGGTCACTCTCAGCACCATTGATGACGCCGCCTTATGCCGAATCTTCCCAACTTCGTTGAAAGGTCAGGTGTTGAGCTAGTTCACATGGCTCCCGATCAACTCAATCGACTCCTTCAATACTTTGGCTTCCCAGTTTACCATCCAGTTTGCTACCAGCCGACCTCATCAGCTAACCTCCCTCGCGCTGGTGAGCATAAGACAAGAGAAGAAGGAATCCCTTCGGACCTTCATGAGCCGATTCAACAAAGCGGCTCTTGAAATCTGAGACCTGAATCCGGCCGCGCCCTTCATCATCTGACTACAGCTTTGAAGCCGAGACCATTTGCTAACAGTATCTGCAAAAAACCCCCGTCTGACATGGACGATTTGAGACGCCGCACCGACAAATATATGCAGATGGAGGAGCTTGTGGAATTCCGCAATCAGGCTAGGGCGGAGGTAGCAGCCAAAGTCGAGAAGCCGGCCGAAAGCTCTTATCGAAGCCGCCCTAAGGACCTCATCCCAAGAGACAAACCTATTCTCAGACCGAGGTATTCTCATTGCACTCCGCTCAATACCATTCGATCGACTGTATTGGACCAGGCACTAGCTTCGGAGGTCCTGGCAGTGCCGGCACCAGGCTAGGGCGGAGGTAGCAGCCAAAGTCGAGAAGCCGGCCGAAAGCTCTTATCAAAGCCGCCCTAAGGACCTCGTCCCAAGAGACAAACCTATTCTCAGACCGAGGTATTCTCATTGCACTCCGCTCAATACCATTCGATCGGCTGTATTGGACCAGGCACTAGCTTCGAAGGTCCTGGCAGTGCCGAAACGAGCCTCGACCCCTCCGCGTGCCAAAGCAAGCAAGTCCTGTAAATATCATCGCAACCGGGGTCACTCGACCGAAGAATGCGCAAATCTAAAAGATAAGATTGAGGACTTAATCAAACAAGGGCAGCTTTAACGTTTCGTCGATCGACCTCGCTCTCCCCAACATGATGATCGTCGACATCGTAGAGAACAGCCTGACCGAGACAGATCCGACAGGCGTCCTTACAGGGAGCAAAGCCGGTCGAGGGGCCGAAAGGAAGACGAGCCGGCCACCCAACCCCGAAGAATCATCAACACCATTGCCGGTGGATTCGTAGGCGGCGGTTCCACCTCTTCAGCCCAGAAAAGACAACTGCGAGCCGTCCGAACTGTACACTCGGTTGAACGCACTCAGCGAAGGTTGCCCGCCATCACATTCACCGAGGCTGATTTTAAAGGTATCAATCCTGATCAAGACGACCCCATGGTCATTAGCGTCGAGATGCACAACTGCATTGTCCGGAAGACGTTGGTCGATCAAGAATGCTCGGCCGATATCCTCTACTGGAATACCTTTAAACAACTCGGCATACCGGAGGCCGAGTTGATCCCTTACAATGAGCCCTTGGTTGGATTCTTTGGTGAACGTGTCCAAACCAAAGGGTACATCAAGTTATCCACTCGCTTCTACTTCGACGGAGCCGAAGCCCGAGACATCCCAGTCAAGTATGTGGTTGTGCACGCCAACACATCATACAACATCCTCCTCGGAAGGCCCTCCCTCAACAAGCTAGGTGCTATCGTGTCGACTCACTCCACACTTAGCCATGAAATTCCCATCGGAGTCTGGCCGAATCATCACGGTCCATGCCGATCAGAAAGCGGCCATGGAGTGTTATTTTGCTAGTCTTCGGCTTCCCCGCCTTGAAACAACCGAGCCTCGCGGAGTGAAACGTATACACACGATAGCGCAAGAGCTTGAAACAATTGTGGACCTTGACCCTCGAATGGAGCAGGACGAGAGGGTCGAGCCGATTGATGACCGACAACCAATTGTTATCGGGCCGACCGACCTACACGTGACCTATCTGGGTTCTAACTGTCCGAAACGGAGAAACGCGAAATCAGACATGTCGTTAGGAAAAACAAAGACCTCTTTGCGTGGCGGCCAGCCGATATGCCAGGTATCGACCCCAACTTTTTATGCCACAAACTCTCAGTGTGCCGAGAGGCGAAACCAGTCGCCCAACAAAAAAGAAAGATGGGAGAAGAAAGAAAAAAGGCGGTTGAAGCAGAGGCATCCAAGCTCTTGGAAGCGGGATTCATTCGAGAAATCCAGTACACAACCTGGTTGGCCAACGTTGTCATGGTCAAAAAGTCAAACGGTAAGTGGCGAATGTGCACCGATTACACAGACTTGAACAAGGCATGCCCCAAGGATGCCTACCCGTTGCCGAACATAGACCGATTGGTTGATGGCGCAGCCGGCCATAAGTTCTTGACCTTTCTCGATGCGTACTCGGGTTATAATCAAATCCGTATGCACCCCCGAGACGAAGACAAAATGGCGTTCATCACGGAATCTGCCAATTATTGTTACCAAGTGATGCCTTTCGGCTTGAAGAATGTCGGGGCAACATATCAACAGCTTATGGACAAGATCTTTGGCAGTCAGATTGGGAAGAATATGGAAGTTTATGTAGATGATGTTTTAGAGCAGATAATGGTGGTGAATACAGGGGTCCATTTGAGCACTATTATTAAGCTTGAGAAGACAGTTCCAAAGACCCCTCAACACAATGGGATTGTAGAGAGAATGAACCGCACAATTAATGATAGAATCATATGCATGTTCTCTTATGCCAAATTACCTAAAATCTTCTGGGGTGAAGCTTTGAGAACTACAATGAACTTGATCAACCTTTCATGTCAAGTGGGTCACTAATTTATTTGGGCTCACGTTGATTAAAAATAAAATAAAAAACAAAAAAGCCTAATATGCTAATTGTATTAGCATCGGGTGTAGTGACTCTTGGCATGTGAAATCAAACTTTCAGAAGAAGGAGAAATCAGAGAGCCTTGCATCTCCGTGCATTGTGCCTCTTTGTAAAATAGAGAAGAAGAAAAATTCTATGAGAAGGAGTGGAGTAACCAACTTTGGAGAAGAAGTGTTTGGTACCAATTTCTATATATTTTGGTTCTCTGGTGATTCCAAGAGGACTTGTAGTGTATTCATTGATTATTATTAGTGGAGTTTTTATTGGACTAGGTCTCGTGAGATTTTTACCTCACCTTGAGGGTTTTTCCATGTTAAAAACTTGTGCCTTTTGATTTCTATTTTTCTATTTTGTGCATCCGGCTGAAATTATCTTGTTGCTTCCAAAGCCTATTATTTTTATACAGGAAAAAAGAAGATTCAATTTTGCTTCCGCTTAATTGTTATTATTCTGGTTATCTTTCCCAACACTTTTGCAGACATCTTTATGTGTGAAACTTAAAGTAGAGAAATGTTAGCCATATACTGTAGACACTTTTTAAACACATTTTTATTAATTAAAATTTATTAAAAATATAAAATTTGGTGGATTTATAACCTATTTAATTATTCTTTCTCATAATTTTGTAGTTTTCAATATATTTGAATCCATAAAAGTGAGTGTGCTAAGAGGAGTATATCAACAAGTATATTGTTAGTCGATTATGAAAAATGTTTTAAAAAATTGTTTCATTTTTTTTCTCATAAATATTAAACATGTGTGATTTTGTAAACATTTGACAATACGTAATATTAAATTACAATTAAAAAAGCAGATAAAAAATTTACGTTCAAGTTATAAGGTTACGTAAATATTTATTGGCTCTAGTCTAATTAAATAGTATGGTTTGAAGTATACATAAACAATTAAGTTCCTCTTATGACCAAAATAGCAATATTTTAAAAAGAAAAAGAAGAATGTGGAATGAAATGTAAAATGTGGAACATACATGTGGTAGCGTCAGCACTCGCTGCAGATGTCACAACACTAAGACTTGCCAACGATTCAAGCAAACCACCGTACACAATGCTTTTAAGAATTTCCAATGTCTTATTACTTGATGCTACAGTTGTCGAAATAAGTGGTGTGCTTTCAGTAGCAACAACTTCTGCTGGTTCTGCCAACACATTAAGGTACAACATCATTTCAATGCAATAGATTAGATGATGTAGATTGATATATTTCTCTATGAATGTTAGATATGTTTAGTTTTGTGGCATATTCCCTTATGACTCATCTTCGAAACCAAGAACAATTATCGTGAAGATGAAGACTAAACTATACACCAATATGGTAATATTCTTTTTATCAAATCAGCCAAGCAGTGTTTTCTTGAAAATAAACTATAGTGTAAAATAATTTACTCATATTTTATTTAATTACATGACTAGTTTATCGTTGGTACCTGTGTCAGCTTCATGGATTTTAACCTCTATTTGCTCTTGCTGTTTCTCATCAGGAAGGTCAATTTCAGGTTGCTTTTCACTTTTGGAAGAGCTAGTTTTAGGTTGTTTGGGTATAGAAGCCTTGAAAACATCACCAATAGCAGCCCAGTTACTCCAAAAAGGCTTCTTCTTTGGTGCAATTTCACCTTTATCTTGATCTTTTGAGGCTTCACTTAAGTGACTGGATGAATCTTCTGAACTCTTGTTTCCAGGAATGCTTTCATGTCCTACAAATCAATTAAGGAATAGTATCGCAGCTAACATCAAGAGATATATATGGAGTATAGACAAAACACACTTTTTTCAACAGATAGTTTTACTATAAGTTGAAATGTATGAAATACTCATTCAATGCGAACATAGATGACTTTACTCTTAATTTAATAAATCTTACATGAATATTAACTAACCATTTTTTGAAGAAAACTGTCCCTAATTAAGGATTACCTGTGTCATTGATTTTATCTTCATCTTCAGTTTCTTCCTTTTGTGGTCCTACCTCAGGAGGGACCACTTTTTCAGTGGTTTGCAGACTTTTTTTTCCTTTGTCATCTGATTTTGGGGTATCTTTGGCTTCAGATTGATTCATTTGTTTATTGGGTTGATCAGGTTCTAGAGCCTTGGGTTGTGATGCACCTTTGAACTTTTGGTCAGGGCCTTCAGGGTGATCCATGTTGCCAACCTCTCCTTCAGGTTGATTTAGTTGTTTCTTGGATTGATCAAGTTTAGGAGTCTCATGTTGTAGTTCACCTTCAATTTTTCTGTCAGAGCCTTCAGGGAGATCCATGTGGTCAACATTACCTTCAGATTGATTTATTTGTTTCTTGGATTGATCAAGTTTTGGAGCTTCATGTTGTGGTGCACCTTTGAATTTTTGGTCAGGGGCTTTAGCGGGATCCATGTAATCGACTTCATCTTCAAATTGATTATTTGGTTTTTGTGATTGATCAGGTTCTGGACTCTTGTGTTGTGGTGCATCTTTGGGTTTTTGGCTGGGGCCTTCAGGGTGATCTGTGTAGTCAACATTACCTTTAGAATGATTCTTGTGTTTCTTGGATGGATCAGGTTCTGGAGCCTCGTGTTGTGGTTCACCTTTGAATTCTTTATCAAGGCCTTCAGGGTGATCCATGTAGCCAACATTACCTTCATATTGATTCTTTGATTGATCAGGTTCTGGAGCTTTATGTCGTGGTGCACCTTTGAATTTTTGGTCAAGACTTTTCGGGTGATCCATGTACCTAGGCTTATCTTCAGATTCATTCATTTGTTTTTTTGATTGATCAGGTTCTGGAACCCTGTGTTGTGGTGCACCTTTAAATTTTTCATCTTGATCTTCAGAGTGATCCATATGACTGATCTCACTTAATCAAACTAGACTTTTTTGTTGTTATGCGTGTCTATTGTTATTTGATGAAACAGTCACTGTTAAAACAGTTAGATGCTATCAACAAAAGGTATAGATAGTGATATCAGTTAAAATGAAACTTTGAAGAGACATAAAATAATTTTGTATGAGGGAAAATCATTCAGCAATCAGGAAGTAACTCGTGCTCTGCTGCAACATGGCCACTAAACTGGGTGTTAAGGCCAAACTGTGTTCATAGTTTGACATCAACAACCATTACAATTAAATAATGCATTTGAGTTTATAAATAAAATCTATTGATTTTGAAACTTCAAGGGTGTTTACACAGTTTTAAATTAGATTGCCTTTTAGTGCAAAGCATATCATCGAGTCAACATTTCTGATGGTTAAGTTCGTTAAAAAGTCAACTTGATCAAAAGGACAAATTTTATATCAAGTTCTCAATATCCTTGCCATCAACATCTAAAATTAAACCAGGGCATGTGTATTTTTCCGCTAAAGAATAATATGATAATTTCTAGATAAACGTTCCTGCCGTTATTTAATATATTTGAAAACTTGATGACAAGAATACAAGAAACTTGATTTGAGTTTTGTTTCTAAATTCTAATCAAATAGATTTAGTACATTACCTTGATCTTTAATGCTGCACCTTCATCAGATACCAACCCAGGGAAAAACCAACTACCTGTTAAAACCAAAAAAGAATTCAGAGTTTAGATCACTTGTAATGTCATAGATAAATAAATTAAGGACTAAAATAAAGTAGTAAAAGTACCGAATAGCGATTAATTGGAATGAGGAAACTGAAGCAAAATGAGCATCATATTTTATGATCAGTTGGTTGGTTGGTTGTATTGTAGGTGTTGAGCAGTTCTGTTGCAACTAAGGGTCAACTGCTGACACTAGCGAAAAATTAACGAATGATGGTGTTTGCACTATTACATGTTATTTACTTCAGAATTTTCTTCATACTATTTTGTAAAATACCGTTGAAAAACAGAACATGAATACATAGCTGTATAGTTAAACAAAATACAGAGACACATACAAAAGGAATAAAAATTGATTTGATTATTTGAGTTATGAAGTCAGTTTTACATATATTGAAAATGTTTATAGTAAATATTTTTAAATTTTAAATTTGGTTAACTCCTGATTAGATAAAATAAATAATAAAATATGATTAAGTCTTAAATCCTAAACTTTTAGTTAAACTTACAAATAAAACAGAAAACAGTAGAGAGTTTGAAATATTTAATTATGATAATGAAAAATAATAAGAATATACATTTTATGCACTTATTTCATTCATTATTTTTTGAAAAACTAAAAGATAATAGTAAAAAAAAACATAAAAATATACCAATAAATTGTTAATTTGAATAGTAATATAGATCTCGAGTTCAAGTTTAACTCTTTATATATATATATATATATATATATATATATATATATATATATAAATGCGCGAG